TTTAAAAAAAAAAAAAAAAAGTTTGTCATTCACCTTTATCATTTAACTTTGGCTATCTGCAACCTTTTGAGACTGAGCAATATTAAAATACTTACTTTATATATGAGCGAACTACCCTCTAAAAATCTACCAGCTTTCAAATTTGAGCATGCTTGCTGGGCTCCACCACCAGTTTCTGATCCTGTATGTCTGTGGTAGGACTTGAGAATTTGCCTTTCAAACAATCCGGCTGACACTTTAAAAACAAGTGAAGAAGATAACTGAATTGTATCTGAGATTTATGTCATTTGCTTTTTTAAAAAAAGTTGGGATAAATACCTTTGTCAGGTCGTTCAATGTTTTCCAGTGTTAAGTCAACTGAGAAGGGAGATAGGACAAATGCCCTTATGCTCCTGGAGTTAATTTTAATGCCACGTATTTTAGGTTTTAAATGCTAGAGAGGACTGGCTATCAGCTAAATCCAGCGGGCTGCAGCAGAGTGGCTCCCGGGGGACCTGACTCCACACGCTTAGTTTCAGAAGTGAGCGAGCATTGATGCCATCATCCAACTTCCTTTCACTTAGCCTCTGCCACCGACTCAGAACACCATTGCCGATTAGCAGTTCTGTAAAGTGAAAGCCCAATGGCACCGCCAGATGTCTCGCAGCGCCCCCCTCCCCCCAGCCCGGGTAAGGGGCACTCCTGGCCGGCCCTGGCCATCAGCCCCGCGCACGCACAGGCCTGCCCCACCTCCATCTCTTCCACCACACTTTGGCCCCGCGCTGGAGGAAAGCAGGAACATGGAAAGCATGTTCCCATATTTTAACAGAAACACTTTTCAGGTTTGTACAAAATGAAGGACATTGTAGAAAGACTAACAAAGTTTACTTGGGAAAGGCAGAAGATTCATTTTTTTGCATTAACTTGTTACACCCGATGCATTATTTTATTATAAAGAAAAATATATATTTAATGGCTCCCAATCCAGTCCTCTTTGCCTGTGCCTGGTCTCCCCAGACACTAACTACCATTTATCCAGCATACACCTTGCCATTATGCCACTACGGTTCCCGGAAGGATTCCCTCTGCTAACATAGATTGCCAAACACCTTTACTTACAACTTCCTCCTGGTCCTTTTATGGTCACCTCCTCCAGGAAGTC